ATAACTAAACATTTCATAGGAAAAGCATTGAGCCACGCTAACGTAGCTGATTTTAGTCTCCTTGTCCACTTATACTATGCAGTATCTCTTGACTTCAGTAGCATTTTTCTAGAACAGTACATCTGATGTGCTTACTGAAATCTCTGGCATAGAAGGAGGTGTGTTTGCCTAAAACACCATCATTTGTCTCAGATCAGTGGCATTAGGACATATAGTTACCCTCTTCTAGTGTTTGCTTAAAATATGTGACGTTTTTCTTGCTATTTCAATAACAGATGGTGCTGCTAATTCCCAACATTTCCTAAATTATTTTATATCATACAGTTTTCATTGATTATACGAGTATGTTCATCTAATAAATCAGTGAACTGTTGCTCTTTATGTTGCTGGCATTTTGTTGGTGACTCTTAATAGTAGGTACTAACAGTCAGTTGTGTGATATATCTGCGCTTTCTTGACTAGAAATACATATAATACACATTTTTTGCACTCTGAGTTCTTATTTTAATATAGATCACATAGAAACAAACTAAATACCTAACAATATGATTCAGTTATAGTTTGCAAGTGTTCAGTAAAACTCTGACCCCTTTCTCTGGTAATCCAATAAAACCTAAAGGGAAATACTATAGTACAAGAGTATATAAATGCTGTGTGTGTGTGTAATTGTACTCTTAAAGTATTAATTTGGAACCGGAAGCCTCATGGAGGGCTGGGGATGTGGCTGAGTTGGTGGAGTGCTTGTCTCACACATATGAAGTCCTGGGTTTGACCCCAGCAATGCATAAACCAGGTATGTTGGCATATGCCTGTAACCGTGCACTCAGGAGGTAGAGGCAGGAGGATCAGGGGTTCAAAGTCATCCTCAGCTACAAAGTTATAGACCAACCTGAGATACATGAGACTGTCTCAAAACAATAATGGATAAAACAAAATCAGAGAGATTAATGTGGGTCAGGAATTGTGATCAGGAAAGGTAAAAGGATTAGGGGTTTAGTGTAATTGAGCTTAACAGGTGCAAGGCCCTGTATTTCAAAAATATGTATATGATTGTTTTTCCTGTAGCTAAGTATGTACACCATGTATATGTTTAGTGCCCATAGAGGCTAGAAAAGATCTCTTGGAACTGGAGTTACAAGTTGTGAGCCACCAAGTGGGTGCTGGGAACCAAATCAAAGTCCTCTGGAAGATCAGCCAGGGCTCTTTTTTTTTTTAAAGATTTATTTATTATGTATACAGTGTTCTGTCTGCACGAATCTCTGCAGGCCAGAAGAGGGCACCAGATCTCATTACAGATGGTCATAAGCCACCATGTGGTTGCTGGAAATTGAACTCAGGACCTTTGGAAGAGCAAGCAGTGCTCTTAACTGATGAGCCATCTCTTCAGACACAAGGCTCTGCATTTGATAGCTAACTCCAGCAAAACAAAAGATTGACTTTGCTTGACAGATTGACTGTTGAAATACTGAAAACTTTTAGGAGGTGGGGTCCAGTGGGATGTCCTTGGGAATGCTTTTTTTTTTTTTTTTTTGGTTTTTCGAGACAGGGTTTCTCTGTGTAGCTTTGCGCCTTTCCTGGAACTCACTTGGTAGCCCAGGCTGGCCTCGAACTCACAGCGATCCGCCTGGCTCTGCCTCCCGAGTGCTGGGATTAAAGGCGTGCGCCACCACCGCCCAGCGGGAATGCTTTTAAATGGAGTCACAGGACCCTCTTGATATTTGTTAACATGGTAACTGTAAATTTGTTGGCTTCACTGGCCTGTCTCTTCACTCCTGTACCCAGCACTGTTTAGGTCTACTTTTCATGTGTCCTCACAACTGCCACCAAGCAGTCCTGGAGAGTCGCTGAGTTAAGTTCTTTTGATTGTCTGAACTTGGCTCTGTAGCTTTGTATCCTTCAGGAATCTTTTTAGCTATTACCAGCTTTTCCTAGCACCACATCCTTACGTTTTAATTTCATTTAACTTTTCTTTGCTATATCATAGTCTTTCTAAAATTTTCATTTGTTTCTCATTCATTTACTTATTTTGTTCTTTGAGACAGTTTTGGAATGTAGGCCAGACTCAGACTTGCTACCAAATTGTCTCAGCCTCTGCAATCCTGGATTTTAGGCATGCAATACCACAACAAGTGGGGACTTTAGGTTTTTCATCGGTAGTCATTTGAAAGGTAGTCTATCACGCTAGAAAATCTTACACATGCCCAGCAAGTAATTTGTTAAAATAATACTGGGTAATAATCAGAACAAAGCTAATTCTCTTTCTCTGAAAATGAACTTCATAGTCCTGGTTAAGAAAAATATCTGAGCCGGGCGGTGGTGGCGCACGCCTTTAATCCCAGCACTCGGGAGGCAGAGCCAGGCGGATCTCTGTGAGTTCGAGGCCTGCCTGGGCTACCAAGTGAGTTCCAGGAAAAGGCGCAAAGCTACACAGAGAAACTCTGTCTCGAAAAACCAAAAAAAAAAAAAAAAAAAAGAAAAATATCTGGATGTGGCATAATGCTTGCCTGTAGTCCTAGCATCTGGGGCAGGATGAGACAAGAGGATTGGGTGTTCAAGTTCATCCTAAGCTATTTAGTGAGGTCCTCATTCTCCCGGGGACCAACCAAAGTCAGGTGCTATATCATAGAACAGTGCTAATGAGAGTTTACTACTTATCGACATCATCTCAAACTGATGATGAAAGCAGATACCAAAAGTAAGTGAAAGCCAGCTGTGGTGGCGCACACCTTTAATCCCAGCACCTGGGAGGCAGAGCCAGGCAGATCTCTGTGAGTTCGAGTTCAGCCTGGTTTACAGAGTGAGATCCAGGACAGGCACAAAAACAACGAAGAGAAACCCTGTCTCAAAAAACCAAAAAAACAAAACAAAACAAAAAAAAAAACAAAAACAAAAAACAAACAAACAAACCCCCCCAAAAAACAAAAGTAAGTTAATTGGGAGTGTCTAGTTTGGGTTTTTCCTCTCCTTTTTTATTTTTTATTTTTGAGGCAGTGTCTCACCAGATAGCACAGTCTGGCTTTAAATTCATTATGTTGCCTAATGTGGCATCCAATTCAGTCATGCCTCAGCCTCCCGAGCACTGTGATTACAGGTGTTAAGTCACCAAGGCTAAATCTATGGTGTTTGTTTACTGAGACTAAGTCTCATGTGGCCCAGTCTGGTCTTCATCCTGCACAACCTAGAGTTCAGTCCCTAGGCTCTCTACCACTAGCCGCCTACCCTGTAACTCTGTTCCCAGCTCTGGCTCTTCACCTCTCTCCCAAGCCCCTCCACCTGCAGAACTTTCCAACCACTCTCCCCTACTAGGTTCACACACACACACTCACTCACATTCGCTTAAGAATTAAGGGGCTGGAGTGATGGCTCAGAGGTTAAGAGCACCGACTGTTCTTCCAGAGGTCCTGAGTTCAATTCCCAGCAACCACATGGTGGCTCACAACCATCTGTAATGAGATCTGGCTCCCTCTTCTGTATACATAATAAATAAAACAACAACAAAAAGAATTACAGGGGAGACCGGGGAACAACTAAAATGACACAAGGCCCTGGGTTCGGTCCTCAGCTAAAAAAAAAGACAGCCTTCATTTGGAAAACCTCCTTTTCAGCACCATCTAGGTTCATGTCTCCTTATGTCTGCTGGGAGCACATGCTTATGAATATATGTCTTGTGTATTCGAGGCTGCCTCGAATGTGTCGAAGGATGGTCTTAAACATCTGATTCTCTTGGCTTTTACTTCTAAGTATAATGACAAGAGATCTTTAACATTTCTTTTAAATCACTATTTATTGGTTTGTGGGGGTGGTTGGGGATGGGGATGGGCGCTTTCATGCTATGGTATATGTGTCGGGGTCAGAGGACAACTTGTTCTCCTCTTCCATGTTGAGTCCTGGGCACTGAACTCAGGTGGTCAGGCTTGGCAGCAGGGACCTTTACCGTCCCAGTCATCTTGAAGGCCCTGAGAGGTCTTTTGACCCTGAAGTTAAACTAGAAGATGAACTGAACCTGTTCATTACATGGCAACAGCAGCTGCCTATTCCCTGCCTATCTCAGGAAACCCTAGAGTCCCATCCAGAGACCACTTGCTTAAAACCACAACAGGAAAAAAAAAATCCTTTCCTACTCCCATTGTGGTCAACTGAGACATTTAAGTTAGGAGTCTCATAGCCACTGAGCTGTATGCTTCCCCGGGGTCCACGTCAAAACTGCAACATTCTCATTCATAAACGTTCTCATTTCCCCCCTTTTGTTTCTACATTATGAAGAGCTCAATAAGGAAGTCCCTTATCATTTGAGGGTAATGATACAGCCATTTGAGAGGAGGTCTCAAAGTGATGGCACTGGACTGGCTTGGAACTTGCTATGTAGACCAGGCTGGTCTCTGCTTCCCAAGTACTGGAATTAAAGGCATGTGCTACCCCAATCCCTTAAAAAGAGATTTTAAACATAGATTTAGGCACAGGGTTAATAACGTGCTCAGGGGAAAGATAAAGCACAGATACGAGTGTGAGTGTGGGTTTCTCAAGTGAGAATTCCGGGTGTATGACTTGTTGAGACTCCAAGGACCTTAAGATCTTCCCAGTGCCCACCTTGCAAAGCCCCAGACATCCCTATTAGAATCTCTATGGATCCCTGTATTGCCCAACAGGTTCCCTCCAAAGTCTGGTGCCTCTCCATTTCTAGATGTTCACTAACATCCACATCTATGACAGTAACCGTTAAGGACCCCAACAAAATTTCTTATAGGCCCCTTATTCAGATCTTATTCAAACACGTACTCATCGTCCGCCGGGCTGACCAGGGACCGGCCAGCCTAGACTCCCGGAAGGTAAACACATCGCCGCAGGCGGGGCGGAGGGCGGGCTAGGGCAGTCTGAGTGGCCAGGAAAAAGTGATTGGCAGCTGCCACGTCCACGTGCTTTTAGCTTCGAATCAGCTGTCGCGAGAATTCGATGTAAACACACCAGTGTCCCTGGCCTCGGGCTCCGCGCCGGAGACTCCTGGCTGAGATCGGCAGGTGTCTGGAGCAGGCTGCATTTTCTTAAAACAGAAAAGCCACCGAGGCGCCTCTTCCAGGCCGGCTGACACGCCTGCCTTTTCTCCCCTGCCGCCTGCATTCGCAACCGAACCTGACCCGCCCGCTTCACCCGAACTTCCATACTGTTGTGTTTTCCCTCCAGCCCCAGCGGATTGGATGGACTCCGAAGGCGGGTCCGCCTCTTTCCTACTTGCTGGTTGGCGAAGCTGACCTCCAAGGGCGGTGCCGCGCCGGGGCCAGTTTGCTCCTGGGATTGGCTGGTGCGGTGGTTCCGCCGAGGTGTGGTAGGAAGTGGTAGACGTCAATCACGAGGGAGACTCCAAACAGTGAGCCTGGAGCTGTAGAACAGCGTTTACCGGCGGAGCGGCCGGTGAGGAGGCTGGCGGGTCCTTGGCGTGGGGGAGGCTTGGAGAGGAAAAGGGACAGGCAGTATGAGGGGACAGGGCTCGGCCAGCCCCAGTTGACGTGGGGGAATGGTGTTGAAACTGGAGGAGAGCTGGGCAAGAGGCCAGAGGGCGGCCGGGGGCAGTGGTGCCTGGGCTTTGGAGGTGAAGTGGGGAGGGCTGTTCCCTTGGCTTTGAGGAGAGTGGGGCCTGAGGGGCTTTCGAGGAGCTGTCCTCAGGTGACAAGACCCTTAAAGGACAGAGGTGGGGAGGCTGGTTCGGTAAGAAAGGGTGGAATGAAAAAGAGAGTGCTGAGGGTCTGGTGAAGGGTACTGCCTGAGAAAGGGTTACCTGGACTAGTTGGGACAGGGGTGTTTGGGTTGTCTAGGAGTGTGGGGATCAACAGTGTGGGAGTTTGCATAGGAGGTGGTAGAGTGCACCCTACTTAGAAGTGGTGTTTTTAGGCTCTTTCCAGTTTACCTCCAGGCTGTGGGCTTTCTTGAACCCTGTAAGAAATCTTTAGTCCTGTTGTCAACCCCACTTTAACCTTAACCAGGTAGACTTATGCTCTTAAAACCACCTCAGTGATTGGGAAGCTCATTAGATAGTCAAAGACCAGGACTTCCTTAGACTGGGAAAAGCCAAGGGGCTCCTGACATCATACGGGTTTATATTACGTGTTTGTTTACAGGCTGGCGATTCTGTTCCAATAGTTGGAGGTTAAAAAGTATTTAAATGTGGCTACACAGTTTTACACATTGGTCCTCAACAGATTTATTTGAGGGTAGCATGATACCATGTCACTTCCATGTGGTCTTTGTCTCACGTGGGCCATCCTTTATGGAAGTGGCTGTGTAGCTAGGGTTGACTTTGAACTCCTGCTCTTCCTGTCTTCACCTCTCAGGTGCTGGGGTGATAGGCATGGATCACCATCCCCCTGGCTAGTTTTTTTTTTTTTTTATCTTTAAGACAGAGTTAAACTAAGTACCTCTGGCTTGTGTTGCCCTAGAACTCACATCAATTCCCTTGCCTCGGCCTCCTAGGTGCTGGGATTACTGGTGTGTTCTGCCACACTGGGTTCTGTTTGTTTTTGTAAGTGATCCTGTGTTAAGAGTTCCCATTTGGTTCTTATTCTCTTATCTTTCTCTGTGTCTTTGGAGCCTGTCCTGGAACTTGCTGTGTAGACTAGGCTGGCCTCTAACTCACAGAGATCCACCTGCCTCTGCCTTCTGATGCTGGGATCAAAGGTGTGCACCACCACCACTGCCTATCTTAGAAAACAAAAGAATCTTCCTGGGTGAGGTAGCACACACCTATAATGCCAGCACTTTGGCATTCAGGTCTCTGGGAGTTCCAGGCCAACTAGAGCTAAATAGTGAGTTTCTAGGAAACTTCAGAGTTTATAACAGCTTGGAAAAGGGATCTTTAGTGAATAATCATAAAACTCTGCTTCCCAACTCCAATGATGTATTTCTTTCTTTTGTTCTGGAAACAGGTCTTATGAATGACACGATGGCTACAGATTCTCCTAGGAGACCCAGTCGTTGTACTGGTGGAGTTGTGGTTCGCCCTCAGGCTGTCACGTAAGCACCTTTTAGAAAAGAAAGCCCTATGGCTGAAGAAAACATTATTATTATTCTTTTTGGTTTTTCGAAATCAGGGTTTCCCTGTGTATCCCTGGCTTGTCCTGGAACTATGTAGACCAGGATGGCCTTGAACTCACAGAGATCTGCTTGTCTCTGACTCCCAAAGTGCTGGAATCCAAGGTGTGTGCCACCACACCCAGTAAGAAAACATTCTAAATAACAACTTCCATTCAGAGTATCTGTTTGGATAGTTCTTGCTTTTATAAACATTTTGTACTTTTTGGCCATGCAGATGAAGTGAAAGGAACAATTGGTGGGTTTAGTTGACATACTCAACACATTATAGAGTACATGAGGGTGACTGCTAATCCCTGAAGAGCAGTGTGAATGCTTGGGATGATCTTAGGGGTAGAGCACTTGCCTAACTTGTGGGAGGCTCTGGGTTTGATTCTCAGCATCAACAAAAATGTAAAATCTAAAAATCAGTGTTTTTAAACTCCAGGTTCCACAAGTTAGTGAGTTGTTAAATTGGTTTAGAGGGTCATGATCAGTATTTGAAAAAGAATGAAATAGGAATTGGGAATATAAGTCATTGTTGGGTTCTAGCCTACTCAAATTCTGGACTCCATCTCCAACACCACAGACATACATAAACACGTCAAATGTTTATATTATACATATAAAACAAGCGAAAGTTGGCTTTTGGTGTGTGCAGAGGTATATTCATACCTATGTATATGATTATTAAATTGTGATGTAAAATGTATCTTTTGTTTGTTGTGCTACAAAGAGGGCATTTCTATATTTTAGGTATTCTTTGACATGGTAGCTATACTTTCTAGGAGTTTATAAATCAATGTGGTTTAAAGAAATACATAGTTGAGAGCAGGGGGGCAGTGGCGCGTGCCTTTAAACCCAGCATTTGGGAGGCAGAACCAGGTGGATCTCTGTGAGTTCGAGGCCAGCTTGGCCTACAGAGTGAGATCCAGGACAGGCACCAAAACTACACAGAAGAAAACTGTCTCGAAAAACCAAAAAAAAAAAAAAATCCATAGTTGAAATTATTGTAATCACTACATAAGAAAAGATGCCAGCAAAATAGCCTGAATATTTAGAGGGATATTTTAGTGGTGACAAGGCTTCATGAGAAGGTAACAATTTGGGGGCTTGTCAGGATGGCTCAGTGGGCGAGAGAGCTTGTTACCAATCCTGAGGATCCAGGTTTTATCCCTGGGACCCATCGATAGGAGGAGAGAACCAGCTCCTCTAAGTTGTCCTCTGACCTCCATGTGCACACACCCTGCCCCCTAGACACACAGACACAGCTGTGTATGCGCCTATATATATGTGTGTGTTTCATATACATACACACATATATTTCATATACATACATGTGTATGAAATAGAATATAATTAAAACAGTTTTGGAAGAAGGTAACATTTTGAGTTTATCTTTAAAGGCTAGAATTTGGACTCAGACTCAAGGGTGCCTTTTTGGCGAAGAGAATAGCATAACATAAGGATTAGGAAAACTACTTTTTTTGGGGGGTTTGAGACAGGCTCATGTTTATCTTACACTTGCTATATAGCAGAACTGTCTTTGAACTCCTGAGTCTCTCAAGGTGAGATTCCAAGCCTGTGCGTCCACTCCCTGTTTCTTTTTGACAGGTTGTTTCTGTGCAGCCTTAGCTGGCCTGGAATATGCTGTAGAGATGATGCTGGCCTCACAGAGGCCCACCTACCTCTCCTTCTTGACTGCTGGGATTAAAGGCGTGCATCACCATGTCCAGCCCTTGTTTTAGTTTTGTTTTTTTTTTTTTAAGCTGAGGATTGAACCCAGAGTCTTGCGCTTGCTAGGCAAGTGCTCAACCACTGAGCTAAATCCCCAACCCTTGTTTTAGTGTTTTTAAGAAAGGATTCTTCTATGTTGTCCTGGATGGCTTGGCACTGACTCTGAGCCCAGGTTGTCCTTAGATTAGTAGCAGTCCATCCTTAGCCGTCCAAGTGCTAGGATTACAGGCAGGTGTGATGACACCTGATTTTTTTGTTTGTTTGTTTGCTTTGTGTATTTCAAGACAGGGTCTCACTGTGTAGCTCTGACAGTCCTGGACCTTACTATGTAGACCAGGCTGGCAGAGATCTGCTTCTGCCTCCCGAGAGCTGGAATTAAGAGCACATGCCAATATGCTCCTCTGGCTTTTCTTTTTTAACTGTTTCACTGTGTAGTTACACTGTCTTCAAACTCACAGTCGTCATCTTTCCTCTGCATCCATAGTGCTGGGATTACAAATGCAGTCCATAGTTTATGTGTCTTAAAATTCTCTTAGCAAACATGGGGCAGTGGCTCAGACCTGTGTTCCTAGGACTGGGGAGGCCGATGCAGGAGTATAGTGAGTTTGAGGGCAGCTTGGACTAGATAGAGTGTTCCAGGCCAGTCTGGGCTATGTAGCGAGATGATGCCTCAGAAAAAAAAAATGCTTAGAGGGAATAATATTTTAGATCATTTCCTTTGGGTGCTTTATTGTATTACAAAAGACAGTCTTCTCAGACTAAAAAAGGCCTATGTACTCAGTGATATCATAATACTACTGCCTTTCCCTCTTCTGTACTCTCTAGAGTTGAAATTCTTTGTGATATTTGCTCTGGCATCTAGTTAAACATGTTATTAGCTGTGAGTTAGGTGACTATTTTAATCTCCCTTTATAGGTGAGGAGAACAGCAGAGAGGAGAGAGCTCGTCATTGGGAATAGCCAGGACAGGGAGCCGGCATGGAGCCCAGCTAGTGGATCTCCAGGGCCTGTGTTCTCACTTAGTATTCCTGCTACTCCACCATGTGGTGTTCAAACCACAGTAATGATTTTTGTTACACAGATGATTTTAGGGTTAGGAAACAATCTTGGGCACAGCATTCTGCCTTCTTTTGACAAATAGTACTTGAGCATCGACTTTCCACTTGTACTGGTGACCGGTTCTGGATGTAGAAGGTGGATATGAGAGATGGGGTATTTCCTTTAAGGAAGCTTATAGTCTAGTGGGGAAACAGACAAGGATGCCATCTGAGCCTTGTCAGAGGAAGGAAGGGAGTGTGCGTGGAAGGGCCCTGAGGAAGCCACTGGAGCTGGGAGTCTGGCGAAGGAAGGACTAGTGGAAATTGAGCAGAACAAGGGACCTTGGAAGAACCTGTGTCAGGGCAGAGTGTGGTGTGTTCTAGGAATCGAAGCTGCCTGTGGCTGAAGAGTAAGTGATGAAGGTGAGCCTGGCAGAGTTGGCAGTGATTCTGTCTCTAAGGCACTTTTTTTTTTTTTTTTTGAAAAATTTAGGGAAACTCTCTCTTTTCTTCTGAGGTAGGGTCTCATCTCAGCCTGGCCCTTCCCTAACTTCCAGCCCCCTATTCCACCTCAGAGTGCTGACATGTGTGTAACCAGTGTGCACCTAGTTCATGCAGTGCTGGGGATGGAACCTAGGACTTGGTGCATGCCAGCCAAGCACTCGGCCAACTAAGCCAATTTTGTTCTTTGAAACAGGATCTCCCTCTAGCTGGGACTGGCCTCAAACTCATGGCAGTCACTCTTTAGTGCTGGGATTATAGGTGTGAGCTGTCACAGTCATTAGCCCTGTTGTCTTCAGTGGCATCTGTTCACATCTTTCAGAAATTTTTAGCATTTTGAAGAAATCTTTTTCTCCACTTACTGATATCCATATCCCGACTCTGTCTTCAGGGCTGGGGCTGTCATTAAGTAGTAGGCCGTTTTCCTCACTGTGTGGTGCTTTGGTTCCATCCCTAGGACTGCAAAAACAAAAGATGTCATTTGTTTAGTGTCCTTAACATCACTGTTTTTCTTTTCTTTTTCGTGGTGTTGGAAATTGAACCTAAGGTTTCATACATGTTAAGGAAGTGCTCTCTATTGTTGAGCTGTTTCCCCAGCCCCGCTTCCTCACTTTTGTAACTCACCTTATGCTTGCTTTTTTTTGTTGTTGTTGTTGATTTTGTTTTTTTGAGACGAGGTTTCTCTGTGTAACCCTGGCTGTCAATCTGGAACTCACTATGTAGACCAGGCTGGCCTCAAACTCACAGATCCACCAGCTTCTGCCTCCCTCCTGAGTGCTGGGATTAAAGTCATGCACTACTTCTGCTAGCTTGTTTGAGTTTTTTGATACAAAGTCCGATTCCATAGGCCAGGCTAGCCTGGGACTCATGATCTTCTTGTTTCAACTTTTCTGTTTTTTTTTTTTTTTTTTCGAGACAGGGTTTCTCTGTGTAGCTTTGCGCCTTTCCTGGAACTCGCTTTGGAGACCAGGCTGGCCTCGAACTCACAGAGATCCGCCTGCCTCTGCCTCCCGAGTGCTGGGACTAAAGGCGTGCGCCACCACCGCCCGGCTTGTTTCAACTTTTCTAAGTGCTAGGGTTACAGTTGAGCCATCACACTCAGGCTTTCATACTGCCCTCCTCTTTTTGTGACAGGGTTGCACTATCTTGGAACTGGCCAAGTAGGCCAGGGTGACTGATAAGTCTGGGATTGTATACATGCACCACCTGCCCAGCTTTTTTTTTTTTTTTTTTTTTTTATGTGGGTTCTGGGGATTGAACAGGCCCAAGCAGCCCACTGAGCCATTTCCCCAGCACTGAACACTTGTTCTAATGCCTGCATCTGGAGGAAAATGCTACCAGAGGTCAGGGACAAGGTTCATCACCTGTTGAAAGAGACGGTCAGGAAATTCTGAGTCGCTCTCTCTAGCATTAGCGTCCAGTCCTACCTTAGGCCGGCTGCCATCAGTCCTCCAAAGTGACCGTTGTTCAGTTAGGAGCTCGAGACTTACGCTTTACAGTGATAGAAACCTCGACAGGTAGAGACGCCTGCAGACTCAAGAGATGAGAACATGGGGAAGTAGAATGATCAGGTGATGAGAGCTGGCCTGCTTTCCTTCCTCTTGTTTTCCTGGGATAGTGAATTTATTAGGCCTTGTGGGTTGAGCTTTTCTGTGTTCTGCATTAGCCTTTCTGACAGTTTTTATCCCTCTCTCCTTTGCCAGGGAGCAGTCCTACATGGAGAGTGTCGTGACTTTTCTGCAGGATGTTGTTCCACAGGTAAGCGAGTGTGAGTACAGAAATGGTCACTTTGGCTTTTGGGTCAGGAGACACTGGAATCCTGTTTCCTGAACTTGACTAAGTGAGTAGTTTCAGAGAGTCTTGTTTTGTCACACTGAGGGTCAGTAGGGCGGAGCTGTGCCTGTGGCTGTGGGATGTGGCTCACTTTTGTGATGGCAGGGACTTGTTATTCTCTTAGGACTTGCTTTTCCTGAACAGAATCCGGGGGGATTTGAGTTGTGAGTCAGGACTCTCCGTTGGATTCCTCTCAGTGCTAGGAATCAACCCCAGGCCTGGTCTCATGCTTCACCAGTGGGTTAAATTGGCAAACTGTTCCTAAGGGTTCCTCTCCTAAATATTTTTCTTGTCTAAGGTAAGAGGTCTGGGTAACTGTTGCCTTGCTTACAGACCTTGACCTTGATATCCTCCCTATGCTAATTCCCTGCCTGGTTCCACCCTCCTGAATGCTTAAGGGAAGTTCCTTGTCTGTGTATCCTGCATATTGGGCGTTAACAGCTTAGATGCAAGATTGTAAAACATCGGTAGCTAACTTCTGCCCTCCGGGGTTCTCCCATTGTGCTGTAAGCCTGTATTTAAGACCTCCTCCCTCCTTCAATAAAGGGCATTCGGCATTCAAAAAAAAAAAAAAAGATTCATGCTACAGAACTCTTGATACAAGAACTCCAGAACCATATCATAGCTGCACATATAATGCCGACAGCTGCAGAACCAGATTTGACCCAAGAAGTCTTAGTCTCATGACGCTTATTCTAAAAGTCCTGTTTTGATACATACTGTGCTAAATCCAAATGAATTAAATCTAAATTATTCCCAACAAACAGTTCTTTCATTTTGAAATGTCAGGGACTCGTAAATAGTCAGCATATAACTGATACTGCTGTCGCACCCTTTTAATCCCTGTACTCGTGAGGTAGAGGCAGGTGGAGTTCGAGGCCAGCCTGGTCTACAGAGCCAGTTCCAGAACAGCTGGGTTACACAGAGACATTCTATCTCAAAAAAAAAAAAAAAAAATTAAAAAAAGAAAAAGAAGCTGGGCGGTGGTGGTGCACGCCTTTAGTCCCAGCACTCGGGAGGCAGAGGCAGGCGGATCTTTGTGAGTTTGAGGCCAGCCTGGTCTACAGAGTGAGATCCAGGAAAGGCGCAAAGCTACACAGAGAAACCCTGTCTCGAAAAACCAAAAAAAAAAAAAAAGAAAAGAAAAGAAAAGAAGAAAGAGGAGGAGGAGGAGGAAGAGGAAGAGGAAGAGGAAGAAGAAGAAGAAGAAGAAGAAGAAGAAAAAGAAGAAGAAGAAGAAGAAGAAGAAGAAGAGAAAAAGGAAAAGAAGAAGAAAGCTGATTTCTCTGTTTACACGTGCTCTCTACCAGACTGCAGCCTGTGGGGGTGCACTGTTGGTTGAGCCTTGCAGGGGAAGCCAGGCTCCCAGTGCCTCCTTCCCATAGTCTCAAGTCTCAGCTTTTCCCAAATGGCTGCCAGCGCTAATCAAGTGAGCAGAGCTGTGGGCTGCCTTGTGCAGGAGGGCCACCCACCTGGCCTTAGGAAGTTGGCAGACAGGTCAGGCCACTCTCCCCTCTGGGAATACCAGCTTTCCCTTCATCAAGGAACTCAGACTGAGTGGGGAGGTGAGCAGCAGGCTTGGGTGTGGGGTGCGTATGTGTTGGAGTGCACATAAACACAAGTGTGCGTGAACAAAAGAAATTTAAAAATAAAAAAGAGGTCTGGGGCTTGGGATGTAGCTCAACAATAGACGGTTTTCCAAGCATTTATGAGACCCTGAGTTTGCTGCCCAGCCCACATACTTATGTACCCATATCCTGCTCCTGCAGAGATGGCTGAGTGGAATGGGAAAGGCATTGTATACTATGTATTAAATAGGGGGTAATTTAATATTATTTATTTATGTATATGTTTATATTTAGCACAAATTGTCATTTCTTTCCTTTTGAGAAGTGGTGTTTTGCTTTTTGCAAATCAGGTATGCCCTTTTGTCCTGATTTGTCAGAGATGAAGGTCCTTACTGTTTCTTTCCTGGAACTCACTTTGTAGATCAGGCTGGGCTTGAATTCACAGAGATCCACCTGGCTCTGCCTCCGGAGTGCAAGGACTGAAAGCATACATCACCACCGCCGCCGGCAAAGTTGATTTTTTTGTTTGTTTGTTTTTTAAGACAGGGTTTCTCTCTGTAGCTTTGGTGCCTTTCCTGGATCTCACTCTGTAGACAAGGGTGGCCTTGAACTCACAGAGATCCGCCTGTCTCTGCCTCCCGAGTGCTGGGATTAAAGGCGTGCGCCACCTCTGCCCAGCCTAAATGTGATGCTCTTTTTAAGAGAGCAAGCAGCCTTGAAGGAATCAGCTAGTGTTACTGCCCACATTTATTACTTCAGATATTATTTGGGCTTCTTGTTAAACATAATAGTAATTTCCAGGCCAGTCTCTCAGAGAATGGATCTGTGTTGGAGTCTGTAGCAGGCTTTCATGTTAGAGTCTAGCCCATGTCTGTAGCAGGCTGTCATGTTATAGAGTCTGAACATGTCTGTAGCAGGCTCTCTGGTGTTAGCTGTGGGTCATGGATGGATAAGTGCTGTTCTGGTGGGACCACTGCAGGGCAACCTCGATTATTTTCCCCGCGTGGATGTCAGTGGTCCCTGACTGCCATGGTGACTTCACCTGTGTGTTTTGGAGAGGACTTTTCATGGATCCATGTGCCAAGTTTACGAGCATACCCCAGAAAGGTCCAAGGCCTAGATTTTTAGTTGTGTTTTGCAAAATGTATTCTTCAAGTAAGGAATGTTGATACTGCTTTATTATATTTAGTCATTTTTAATGAAAACAGGCCACAGCATTGAGGTCTGTGGTGCACATGAGGAAAAATGCTCCCCTTTCCTGAGGCACTTGCTTAATAAGTCAAATTGCTTGAAACAAGCACAGATTATTAATAGCAACAAATCAGCACTGTTGCCATGTAGCACACTGAATAATTGATTTGTGAGGGATGCAGAGAGAAGAGAGAGACTTTGGAAGCATTGCTAGTTGAAATGAATGAAGGAAACAGGGTGCCTGGGTAGGATGGCCTCATGGTTTTGGAGGCAGTGGAGGATCTGATGTCTATGTTGGCCAGGCTGAGGGAGCGGTGGGCACCTGGAAGCCAGCTTGTTCTTCCTTAAGCCCCCAGCCTTGACATGAGGCTGAAATACCATGGAAAAGTGGTTTAACAAATTTTTACTTCTGTATTTTGTTTGCAGGGCATCTTTATCAAATGTTATGTAGGCATCTTAGGAACCCTGTGTAACAAGGAGGTAGGTTTATTATTTTCTTGGGCTGGAGGAGAAAGGCTTGGTCTGAAACTTTGAGGACTTTTCCCTCTGTGAAGGGTTGGAGCGGGACAGGGAAAATAGGGAGCTAAAATTGGTGGAGAAATGCCAGAAATTCTAGTTTTTCTGAACTTACTATGTCAGGGAGGGGATAACAGGTCATGACCCATGAAACCAGCTATGAAAATGATTCAGAGCAGGTACTATGGAAGTAAACTTTTAGGCATTGATCTAAGAATTAGGATATCCAGCCAGAAATTCCTGTGTTGTTTGCTGTCTGTCTGAGTTGAAGGTGAAACTTGAACAGATAGCGTTTACCTGGGTTCTGGGTTCCCTGCATGTGCCCGGCCCTGAGCTGAGCTGAGCTGAGCTGACCTGAAGGGATTCTCAGTCTGTGCTCCAGGCCTCTGGTCTGCTGTGCAGCTTGGCAGACCTCTTCTATAGAGCTCTGGTTTTCTTTCCAGCCACTCAGCACTCTGTGTAAAGGAACAGGCATGATTGTAGCTTTAGTAAAACTTGCTTCATTGACACAGGTCTTCTTACAGTTAAGACCCAGCTAAAATACATGGCCAAATATAAACACCACCATAGTAAAAGTATAAAGTACCCTGCTGTGCCATTGTAACGTAGAAGGAAGAGAGTCAGTTTACATGAGGCTGGAGCTGGGTGTGATTCACATGCCTTTAGTTCTTGTACCTGGGGAGGCTGAGGCATGATGATTGAGGGTTCCAGGCTTTCCTGGGCTGAAGAGTGAGAGAAACAAGCCAGCCAACAGAGATTTAATGAGTCAGATACCATTTGACTCATTGATCTGAGGAATAAAGGAGAATGGAATGCAGCCTTAGTGAATTTGGTAGGAAACAGGGATAGTGGGGTTGCAGCAGGCTGAGAGTGTCTTAGTGATTTAAGAGTACAGCCTTATGCAGGTGGTGGTGGCACATACCTTTAATCCCAGCACTTGATGGCCTAGTCTACATATTGAGTTCCAGGACAGCCAGAACAGAGAAACCCTGTCTTAAAAAGCCAAAAAGAAAAAAGAAAAAAAAAAAGTACAACTTTGATGAAGATCTGGCTTTGCACTTCATTCGGACATGTTATTAGCTCTGGGCAAATTACTGCATCAATCATTCCCTGAACATCAGTGTCCTTATTTCTAAGACAGCTCATTGTACTCACTGTGGGTCTTGTGTCAGGGCTTAAAGGAAGCTGTGTATAGAGCATCAAATAAAGAGAAGCAAATATTAAGTCACTTCTCAGGAGACTGAAGATCCAAATGATAGATTAATGACTTTTATCAAAGTGGCTGTGGCAATTGGAGCTAAAATTATTAGGTGTTGTGTCGTGTGTGTCCCCCCCCCCCCCCCCCGCGTCATTTCCCCCTCCTTCCCTTTTCTTTCTCTTTTCTGTTTTGGACGTAGAACATTTGTATTCCAGGCTGGCTTCAGATTTTTTGCACCCCCACCTGGTGGACCTCCCAAAGGCTTGCTCACAGGGTCTGAACACTGAGCATCACATGTTTGGGTATGCAGGGAGGTCAGAGGACAACTTGAGGTGCTTTTCTGCATCCCCCTGTGTGTTCTGAGGATCCTGGTGAACAGTCTTACTGTCCTTTGAATGTTTGAATCCCTTTTTCTGTTTTAAGACTAAAACTTACTTTTTTTTCTGAGACAAGATCTCATTAGTAAATTAGGTTGGCTTCAAACTGAAACGAGATCCACCTGTCTCTGCCTCCTGAATGCTGGGGTTAAAGGTGTGAGCTGACACACTCATCCTCATCTTCCAAGCTTTATTATTTATTTGTTTGTACGTGTGGGTTGGTCCAGGATCTGCTGCAGTTGGAGTTACTGCAAATTGTGAGCTGATCTATGTAGATGCTTGGATCCAAACTTGGGTCCTCTGGAAGTGTTCTTAACTGATAAACCATGTCTCCAGTGTCAGAAATAATTAAAAAAAATAGACACTTTATTTACTGTTTGACTGATTCAGAGGACAGTCTCCTTCCTCTCTGCCACCTTTGATCTGTAGTGGTGCTTCAGTCAGCAACAGGAAAGTGGCATTCAAAATTTTTATTTTAGCCGGGCGGTGGTGGTGCATGCCTTTCATCCCAGCACTCGGGAGGCATAGGAAGGAGGATCTCTTGAGTTCCAGGCTATCTTGGTCTACAGAGTGAGTTTCAGGACAACCAGGACTAAATAGAGAGACCCTGTCTGTCTTGAAAAAATTATTTATTTTTATGTGCGTGAGTGATTTGCCTGTGTATGCACCAGGTCCTCAGTGGGATCCCCTGGGACTGGAGTTGACTTTGTGAGCCATTATGTGGGTGCTGGACTTGAACTCAGGTCCTCTGGAAGAGCAGCCAGCACTCTTAACCACTGAGCCCTCTCTCCAGCCCTGAGAGTTGCAATTTTTGTTATTATATTCCAAACTCCCTCCTATTCTGGGAATCAAATTCATAGAGTCTAGAAAGTATTCTGTGGGTCTGCAAATGTCCCGTATAGAGGGAGGATGTTTGTTGCCCTAGATAGTAGCTCTCTTGGTGTTACGGAGTTGTGTTGAACTGATAACACTGCTTACTAGGAACCCTTAACTGTGCCCTTTGATCTGCTAATTTCAGTTAGGAAAACTTATTTTAAATGCAATACAGAGAAGTGCTAAACCTATTTCTCTGTGTATAAAAGTGTTCATATTTTCAGTGTAAAAATCGTAGTCAGTAAAATGTCAGTCAGTGAGCAACAGCTTTGTACATAGTTTGTTGGGATTAAACTTAGGCTGTCAAGCTTTTGTGCAGGTTTGTTTATCTGCTGACCCAGGTCCCTGGCCCTCTTTTTTCTTTTCTTGAAGATAGTTGTCCATGCTGGAAGTAAGTTCACTTTGTAGCCCAGGGAGGCCTTAAACTTGGGATCTGTTTGCCTCAGCCTTGTAAGTAGCTGGGCTTACAGGCCTACACCCCTAGGCCTGACTTTCCCTGTGTGTCCCAGAGTGGTCCCGAACTCTGAATCTTCCTTTCTGCCTCCAGAGTCCTTGAATTACACACCTTAGCTCTAAGTTGTTTTGGTGCCAAGGATTGAACTAGACCTTGCACACAGGACTCCTCCTCCTCTAAGCCAGACCCCTCCCCTTCAGGTGAAAGCTGGGGTTGTAGTTTGCTTTTTGTTACTGTGTGGTAAAACACTGACCAAAAGCAACTTGGGAGCTGAGTGGGTGGTGGTGGTGCATGCCTTAGATCCCAGCACTCGGGAGGCAGAAGCAGAGGCAGAGGCAGGTGGATCTCTGTGAGTTTTAGGCTAGCCTGGTCTACAGAGCTAGTTCCAGGACAGCCAGGGCTGTTACAAAGAGAAACTCTGTCTCAAAAAACAAAACAAAACAAAAACATAAAACAACAACAACAACAACAACAAAGGCCACCCACCTTGGGGACTTACAGGTTGAAGTCTTTCCCTGAGGGAAGCCACAGCAGGAAACTGGAGGCAGAAACGGAAGCAGGAGCCATGGAGCGTGGAAGAAGGCTGCTTATTGAGTTGTTCCAGACTTACATTCAGCTACCTTTCTTACAGTCCAGGCTTTCCTGCTCACAGTAGGCCGCACCCTCTTCCATCAATTAGCAATCAAGAAAATACCTCAGGCATGCTCACAGGGCAGTCTAGTGGGGCAATTGCTCAACTGAAGTTCCCTTTTCCCTGGTGTGTTGACAGCTGCAGCTGGGTAGCTTGTGCCTGGAATCCCATCATTGGGAGATTGAGGCAGGAGGGTCTCAAGTCTGAACCAGCTTGGGCTACATAGGAAGCTCTTGTCTGCAAATCTAATAAACTAGCCAATTGAAATTAAGGGTATATAAAGTAATAGATATTATATTTAAATTAAAAACCAAGGCCTGGGGAGATAGGAGATAGGTCATTTGGTAAAGTGCTTGGCCTGCAAGCGTGAGGACCTGAGTCTGACCCCTAGGACCCATGGTGGTCAGGTATGATGGCAGACACTTAGAATCCCAGCACTGGGGAAGTGCAGACCTGAGGATCTATCTCAAGGGTTTGCTGGCCCAGCCTTCCCTCCATTGGTGAGCTCAAGGTTAATGAGAGACCCTGTCTCTTAAAAAAAACAAAACAAAACAAACCACAAAAAGCAAGGTGGCACCTGAAGAAGTCAAGGTTTTCCTCCACAAATGTGTACTTACACAAACACACACCTACATGCACATGCACACAAAAATTTTTTTTCTCTTACTAGGGATTGAACCTAGGGTCTTGTTCATCTCTGGCAAGTGATCTACTAAGTTATGTGCCTAGCCATCCCCCACCCCCTTTTTTGAGATGGAGTTTCAAGTTGCCTGGGTTGGCATTGAACTCCTGGCCTCAAGTTACCTTCCCAGTCAGCCTCATTTTTATTTTTGGATTTAGTAACCACCACCACTCTATATGATCTTAAAAATGTGTGTGTGTGTGTGTGTGTGTGTGAGAGAGAGAGAGAGAGAGAGAGAGAGAGAAAAGAATGATCTTGAAGATCTTCCTGTCTCTAAGTTGAACCTTTGATTTGTGTAGCACTGGGAATCAAGCCCAGGGCTTCATGCACGCTAGACAAGCACTGGATCAGCTGAGCTACATCTCCGGCCCTCCTAAGAATTTTAAATGAAAATGTGTTTTATGTGGAGAGATGACTTCTTTTGTACACTGATGGGCGCTGCCAACATTTTTTTAGCCATGCATGGGTATCTTCCCAATTCTTACAGGCTTCCAAGTTTTAAATGATACTTTGTGTCTGGAAGCTAGATAACTGACTGAAAAAGCACTATCTTGTAGATGTGTGGAGTTTTGTTATTCTGTAACTTTTACAGATGAGTGAAGGTGGTTGGTTGATGGAGGGTTTATTATGATCACTGTATTTGGGTTTCTGCAGTTCTGTGTTGAGTTAAAATCTCATCTTTGACTGATATTATCAAACATTCTTTGGGAGTAATGACATTCCAGAATGTGCTGTTCGCCCCAGGGAGGGACAGAGAGGCTGGAGGAGGTGGGGTAGTTAGAATCACCTTTTGGTTTGAACTTGTGTGGTATTGGAGCCTTACAGTGTCCTAATGAAAATACTTCTGCTTGCTGCGCAGGCTTACAGCGGGACTCCCCTAACAGAAGAGAAGGAGAAGATAGTCTGGGTCAGATTTGAGAACGCAGATCTGAACGGTATGACGGACTTCTCTGGGATGTGTGTATTAAGTGCTTTTTGGGGTTGACCTGATTTTAGAAAGAGAACCATAAGTTCAGTCAGGCCGTTTTTGCTTCTACTAACTTTGTTCAGTTTTGAAAATAAATTCATCTTTAGCTGGGAGTGATAGCATATGCTTATAATCCCAGTGCCCATGATGCTGAGGCAGGAGGATCCTGAGTTGGAGGTGAGACTGGAGTACGTTGCAAGACCTGTCTAGAAACTAAACACCCTACAGTGTGTAACCATTACTTGTAATCATCCATCTATATAGCATTTTCGCCTTGGAAAATAAACTATATTCATTAAAGGTTCTGTGTCTTCATCCCCAGTCCTTCTAACCACCATACTATCCTATTCTCTTTTAAGACAGGGTTTCTCTGCATAGTCCTGGCTGTCCTAGAACTCACAGATATTGTCCTTTCTGTGCCTTCTGAGTGTTGGGATTAAAGGTGTGCACCACCACAACCGACCTTCTTATTTAAAAAAAAATATTTTTATGTGTATGGGTATTTTGCCTACATGTCTATGCACCATGGAAGCCAGAAGAGGGAGTCTGATTACCTGGGATTAGAATGGCAGATGTTGTCAGCCACCAGTGGATGCTGGGAATAAAATCGCCCTTCTCTGGAAGAGTAGTCAGTACTATTAAGCTCTGAGCCATCTCTCCAGCCCCTCTACTTTCTTTATGACTCTGACGATATAGACATTCTGTAGAAATAGATTTGTGTTCAGGATTCATCAATGTTGGATCATATGTCAGAATTTCCCATTTACGTTATTTTATTTTATTTATTTATTTATTTATTTTTGGTTTTTCGAGACAGGGTTTCTCTGCAGCTTTGCGCCTTTCCTGGGACTCACTTGGTAGCCCAGGCTGGCCTCGAACTCACAGAGATCCGCCTGGCTCTGCCTCCCGAGTGCTAGGATTAAAGGCGTGCGCCACCACCGCCCGGCCTACTTTATTTTATTTTAAACCAGGGTTGTTCAGGATAGCCTTGAACTCCTGGCCTCAAACAATAAACAATTTTCTTTCCCCAGTCTTTTCAGCAACCTGAGTTACATGAGTAATACCATTTTTTTTTAATGTTGGACATTAAACCAAGAGCAGTATATATGCTATGTGGTATACTACCAATGAACTATACCCCCAGCTCTCTATTTATCGAATCTATCTATCTATCTATCTATCTATCTATCTATCTATCTATCTATCTATCTGTCTATCTATTTATATATATATTTTTTTGAGGTGGAACTCCTTGGTTCAGGGTTGCCTTGAATTCCTGATCCTCATGCCTCTACTTCCTAAATTTCCTGGATTTGCTGGATGGCCTGGAACTCAGTATGTAGACCAGGCTGGCCAGTAAATCACAGAGATTCACCTTCCTGTGCCTCTTTAGTACCCGGATTACATGTGTGTTCCAACTGAAGAAGCTGTTTGTTTTTGAGGCAGGTGTGGCCCAGGCTAGCCTTAAACTGTATCACAGTAGTTGAAGGTCCTTGACCCTCTGAATATCCTGCCACCATGGCCACTTTCTGGGGTGCTAGGGATGGAACCTTAGGCCTCTTGAGTGCCAGCCAAGTATTCTACCAACAGAGCTACATCCTCAGCCCTGGACTGACTTTGTTTTGAGGGAAGGTCTCACTAAATTGCCTTTTGGCCCTGAACGCACATTGTAGTCCAGGCTGGCTTTTAACTTGTACAGGCATCCTTCCTCAGCCTCCTGAGTAGGTAGTAGTGCAGGCCTGCTCCACAAGGTCCCTTACAGCTTTTAATGATGTGAATAGTCGTCACTGTGACCATTGGTGTCTAACTGTCTCAAGACTCTGCCTCTGTTCTATCTGGCTTATACTCAGAAGGGAAGCTGCTGGATTCCATATGGTAATTCCAGTCTTAATTTTCTGAGGAACTAAGTCTTGGCTCTAGTGCTTGTACTATTACAGGTTTCCAATGACAGTGCACAAAGGCATTTTCTTGGCTCTGGGGCTTGACTTCTCCGGGATTAGTCAAGTGAGGCAGTCTGACACTTAACTACCCTGTATCCCCAGCTCCTCAGATTTTGATACATTCCACATCCAGTATTTTATGCGAGAGTCCTCTGTACACTGTAGTCTGGAGTAATTCATTTTTCTTTGATGATGATATTCCATTCTATCTTTGTACCATAGTAGGACTATTGGTTTTTTTGGTGAAGATTTGTATTGTTTCTATCTTTTGGCTGTTTACAAATGTTACTGTGAATCAATCTATGCCCACCCTGGCAAAGTTAGCCTTGGCAGTTGTAGACCTCAGCATTAACACACTTGCCTAGCATATGTGAGAGATCAATCCCCAGTAATACAAAGAAAACAAAACAAAACTTTTTTTTCTTTTGAGATAAGGTGTCACTGTGTAGCTAGGTTGGCGTAGAAGATACTGTGTAGCCCAGGTTGGCTGTGGTGATCTTCCTGCTTCAGCCTCCTACCTGCTGGGGTTACAGACTAGAGATACCACATTGGTCTCTGACCTTTGCTTTAAAAAATTTAAAAAAGATTTTTTAAATTATGTGTATGTCAAGATTGTAAAACATCAGTAGCGAACTTCTGCCCTCCGGGGTTCTTCCATTGTGCTGTAAGCCTGTAAGACCTCCTCCCTCCTTCAATGAACGGCATTCAAAAAAAAGGAAAAAATTGGCCGGTGTTTGTGTATGTGTATCCAATGCCCCCGAGGTCCGAGGCCTTGGATTACAGAAGGCTGTCAGCCCCCTGATGTAGGTGCTGGGAACCGAGCTTGGACCAGCAGCAGGTGCTCCTAATTACTGAGTTATCCTTCCCGTTCCCTGCTTTCATTGTTGTCACTGAGTCTTTGCATCAATTGGGGTAAATAAGTAGTTTGCTTTGTTCATACTGTCTTTTTATTGGCTTTTTTGTTAATCCTAATGCAGATACATCACGGAATCTAGAATTTCATGAACTGCATAGCACTGGAAATGAGCCCCCTCTGCTGGTTATGATCGGCTACAGTGACGGCATGCAAGTCTGGGGCATCCCTGTGAGTATTCATAAGGGGTTCCTTGCTGCCCAGGTATTTACATGTATTGCTCTGCAGATGTATCTACACATTACTAAGACCTCGTGGAGGGTCAGTGGGAATGGAAGGCAAGTGGCAGGCAGGACCCCTAAAGGACGAGTGGGGTTGAGCAGGAGTTGTGGGACTCATGGTTTATGGAAGGTGTCAGTTTTGTTTAGGGTAATATTATTAAATGGGGTTGTTTCTGTGTTTTCTGACTTACACAAGAGAAAACTGAGACTTGGGGAAAAGATTTATAATTAGAAAATATTAACAATATTGTAGGTGGACTTTTCTTACCCTCCCACCAGTTCCCAAATAACCAACACGGAGACTTAATACTAATTATAAATGCTTGGTTGATAGCTCAGCTTGTTATTAGCTAACTCTTACATTTTAAATTAACCCATATTTCTTATCTACCCTCTGCCATGTGGCGGTACCTTCTTTCAACATGGCATGTTCATCTTGCGTCTCTCTGCATCTCTGTAGACTCCGCTCTGCTTCTTCCCAGTGTCCTTAATCTGTTTTTCCCACCTAACTTTATCCTGGCTGGTCAGCTTCTTTATTAAACCAATCACAGCATAATTCACACAGTGTACAGAAAGATTATTCCACAGCACAATCTATCAGTTGTTTTGTATATGTTAAAACATTCACATGGATCAACAAGATGGCTCAGTAGATAAAGCTGTTTGTTGCTAGACCTCTCAACTTGAGTTCAGTCCCCCCCTTCACCCCAATCCCTATAGAAGCAGAGAACTAACTCCTGCAAATTGTCCTCTTTTGACAGTTGCATAATGTCACACGCACAGGCTAGCAGACATGCAATCTTGCCTACATACATGCACAAATAAAAAATAATAAATACAGTTTCAAAAAGAGCCTAACATAGTGGTCTACACCCTTAGGCACAGACAAAGGCAGGAGGATCTCTGGGTTAAGGCCAGCAATGGCTACGTAGAGAGAACCTGTCTCAAAAAAAATTTTAAAATATATAGTACCTCAAAAAATAGAAATCTGATTGCCTGGATGTAAGAGAAATAGAAGATAACGACAGAAGGGGGCAGTTTTACCATTTTGTACCCCTTGAATTTTGTATCAGGTGAATTAAAATAAAACTTTTAGGGACTGAAGAGATGGCTCAGTGGTTAAGAGCACTGCCTGCTCTTCCAGAGGATCCATGTTCAATTCCTAGCAACCACAATGAATCTCACAACTGTCTGGAACTCCAGTTTCAGGGAACCTGACATTCTCTGCTGGCCTCTGAGGGCACCAGGCACGTATGTAGTGCACAGACATACATGCATGAAAGCAAATATTCATACATGTAAAATAAAAATCATCAAAAATTTAGATCCAGCCTAGTGGTGGTGGCACATGCCCTTGGGAGGCATTTCTGTGAGTTTGAGGACAGCCTGGTCTATAGAGTGAGTTCCAGGATAGCCAGAGCTACACAGGGAAACCCTGTCTAGAAAAACAAACAAACAAACAAAATCACTTTTATTTGTGTTAAGGTATTCTTGCAGCTAGAGTGTTGCTATGAAGTCTGCTGTTTGTTTTGTAATAAATGTCACTGCTAAGGAGCTCTTGTATGGACTTTAATAGCTGTATCATCTAGTGTTTTGATTTTTTTTAATGACCACTCTTTCCTAATCCAAATACTTTAAATGTCCATCATTTTAATATTAAAGTGTTATACTATGGGGCCAGATGTTATAGGCTTGTAATCCAGTTTCTTATCAGGCTGAGGCAGGAGGATGGCAAGTTCAGGGCCTGTCTAGGCAACTTAGTGAGATGCTGTCTGAAAAACAACAAAACAGTGTAATGAACTTGAACTTAGGTATACATATGTCTGCCTGCCTGCCTGCCTGTCTGTCTGTCTATCTATGGCTTTTTTAAGAAATTTAATTTATTTTATTTATTTATTTTTTTGCCTGTTTTCGTTTTTTTTGAGACAGGGTTTCTCTGTGTGTCTTTGGCTATCCTGGAACCCACTCTGTAGACCAGGCTGGCCTTGAACTCACAGTGATCCACCTGCCCCTGCCTCCCCATTTCTGGGATTAAAGGCGTTTGACATCACGCCCTGGTGGCTTTGGTATTTTGAGATGGCCCTTGCTATCTATACTTGGTCATCTTGTCAATCTCTTTGAGGCTCGCCTGACCTCAGGCTCATGGGTTTTCCTTCTCTTTGTTTCCAGTTCTGGGATCACAAATGTGGGCCACTAAGCCTGGCTCCAAAAGTTGTATTTTATGCCTGAGTGTTTGTGTAGAGACACCCCCTCCCACCTTTGAAATTGGATTTTTTACTGTGTACCTTAGGTTGGCTTTGAACTCATAGCAATCCTGCTCAACTGCCTCACTGCTCCCTGACACACTGACTTGTTTTGTGGGATAAAGGTGACCCAATGTTGAGTGAATTTATGGTTTTAGACTTTGGTTTTTTTTTTTCTTTCTTTCCTTTTTTACTTATGTGTATGGGTGCCTGCCATGTGTCAGTGGGTGTCTTAGGAGGCCAGAAGAGGATGTTGGATTCACTGGCGCTAGAGGTTGTAAGCTGCCCAGCTGTGGGATGTCCTGTATGTTGTGAATATATGTTACTATGATTGATTGATAAATAAAACACTGATTGGCCAGTAGCCAGGCCGGAAGTATAGGATAGGTAGGACAAACACAGAAGAGAGGCTGAGAGGTGGAAGCCGGGGGCAAGGGTAGGGGACGGGACATGCCAGCCTGCCGACCAGGGAGCAACATGTAAAGGCAACAGGTAAAGCCACAGAACTCGTGGCGACATATAGATTAACAGAAATGGGCCGAGTTAAGTGTAAGAGCAAGACAATGGTAGGCCTGAGCTAATGGCCGAGCAGTTTAAATAATGTAAGTTTCTGAGTGATTATTTTATAAGTGATTGCGGGGTCCGTGGTGCTGGGCAGGACTGGAGAAAACTCCAGCTATGAAAACTTAGGTTCTAGAAGAGCAGCAAGTAGCAAGTGCTCTTAGAGCTCTCTCCAGCCCTGTCAGTAACCAATCAATCAATCAATCAATCAATCAATCAATAAAAATTTTTTCTGTTAGCTTTTTGTGATGCTGAGGATTATATCTAGATGTGTGGTAGGCAACAACTCTCCTACTGAACTAGACATCTCCAGCCTCCTAGCCCCTTTCCTTTTCATATATATGATCTTTAGGGTAGAGGTGATCGCCTCTGTAATACAGGTGGGAAAACAGACACATAAAGTCAGATGAGAAGTGGCCCAGGACTACAGAGCAAGACTTGATCCTCAGCCTCCAAGTGGATTTATGTCACCTACAGATGGAGTTTGGAAGAGTCCTGGCATTTTAATTTAATTTATTTTTATTTTTTTGGTTTTTTTTCGAGACAGGGTTTCTCTGTGTAGTTCTGGTGCCTGTCCTGGATCTCACTCTGTAGACCAGGCTGGCCTCGAACTTACAGAGATCCGAATGGCTCTGCCTCCCAAGTGCTGGGATCAAAGGTGTGCGCCACCCCCGCCCGGCTAACGTGATCTTTCATGAAGACATTCATTAGCAGTATCTTACTTCAAATTTAATGGAAGTTGCGATGCTCTAGAGCAGTGGTTCTCAACTGTGAGTTGTGACCCGTCTGGGGGTTGCATATCAGATAGCTGCATATCAGATAGCTGCATATCAGATATTTACACTACTGTTTGTAACAGTAGTAAAATTTAGTTATGCAGTAGCAGTGAAAATAATTTTGTGGTTGGGGGATCACCACGACGTTGAGGAACGGTGTCAAAGGGTGGCAGCATTGGGAAGGTTGAGAACCACTGCTCTATAGACTAGAATTTGGCTTAAATGATGTTATAACAAAAGCACAACACTTGTATTTCTTTAACATTTGACTTGAAAATTTTGTTTATGGGCCAACAAGACGGCTCATCAGGTAGAAGTGCTTGCTGCCAAGCCTGACAGCCCAAGTTCCTGGTGGAAGGAGAGAACCAACTCCCACAAGTTGGCCTCTGACCTCCAGACAAGTGCCCAACAAATCAAGAAATGTAATAAAGACGTCACAAATTGTGTATTTATGCACTGTGGTGCTCCATTCTGGTCACAGGACTGTCATAGCGCGCACACATGTAGTGTTGAGGCTTTATTTTGTGGCTGCAGAGTGCTGCTGGCTGCCAGGACAAGTAGCTTTTCTCTTGCTCACCCAACCCCTGAGTAATGAGAACAAATCCTCGCGCCTTACTCCTATGGGGAAGTGTTCCTGTGTGCAGGCAGCTCCGCTCTTGGCTTTAGTATAGGTCTTCAGGGCTTTGCCTTGTTTTGTAAGCTCTCAAGAGGAAGCGCACAGTTGAATCGAGGGGTGGTTTCATTAGTGTACCTTTTCTGTTTTAATAGGGAAGTGACTGCATTTTGCTCCACATGCTGTTTGTTTACAGGCAGGTTGTAAGGAGTGGTTTTCACAAGATGGTTGGGCTGGCCTAAGGGTGTTGACTGGATGGAGCACATTCTTTTGATGGGACTCAGGTGGCTCTGACCGCCCACTTGTTTTGGTTATAATTAGAGGTGTTACTTTGAATAGTTTCAAAGGTAGCTTGTATGGTCTTGAATATCTTTTTTTTTGGTTTTTTGAGACAGGGTTTCTCTGTGTAGCTTTGCGCCTTTCCTGGAACTCGCTTTGGAGACCAGGCTGGCCTCGAACTCACAGAGATCCGCCTGCCTCTGCCTCCCAAGTGCGGTCTTCAATATCTTAAAAGTATCTATTCTTTCTTTCCCTCCAATTGTGTTTGGGAGGCTGGAGGAATCATCTCTTGCTGGACTTGCCCTGCCGAGTTGTATGCTGGTGAGGTTGATTGCCATAGGCAGAGGGAGAAGTGAGCTCACTGTGTTCTTTGGTTTTGCTTTTGGAGTTGTTGGGGTCCTTCTAGGACATTATCCCAGGTAACATTTTCTGTGAAGTCAGTTACTCTTACTTAGGTGAGAAGGTCGCACTGCTTGTG